TATTTATCTTTGCGCAGTCACCGCTAACATTTGAATTTGTTACGATGACAGAGTTACTGAGCCAGCTAAGATTAAAATTAAATTGTGTAGTCTTTGACCACTAGTCTAGTTTTTTAGTTTGATTTTGACTGTTGTTGTTTAATTGCATCACCCCTATCTGTAGTTGATTTTTGTCAACATAGGAATGTGCCTGTATGCTCTAAGTTCTTTTTGAATAAAAGTTTTATTTCAACCTTTATGAGACTTTGTAGTTACTTTCAGACATAGTGATAATTTATTTCATGTCTATAAGAGGTTTTGGACTATTTAACTTTTACCAGATCAAGTAAAAACCTTGTTACATACACTTTTAAGAGACTGGCAAATTAGGAGATAAAGCACACAGAAACTAGTGGGAACACTAGTTTGTGTATTGAAACAGGTTTTTAATTGTTAGGAAAGATGTTTAAAAAGAAGAAAATTGATATAAATTAAGCCAAAATGTCTTGGAAGGCTTCAAATTAAAAAAGACGCATAAATGTTTTGTTATGTGTTGTTGCTACAAAACATAAATGTTTTATAGCTTTTAATGTGGAATTACCCTAATAGCGTTTAAGAATCAATGTTATGACATTGATTTAAAACTGACAATTTAAAATTACATGCATTTTAAACTGTGAAATGTTATTAGATTGTGATTTTAATAGTGCTTTTTTAAGAAATTTTTTAAAAAATAAATAATATTTAATAGGGGTCATGTAAATCTATAACGATTAAGGGTATTTAACTACCTGATTTAATTATTGGTAACTAACCACTGACCTTTAAAAGTTACCTCTGCATGTTAAAGCAAGTTATTGCCTTTCATCAATCCTTACTGTGGTCACAAGATAAAGCACAGAAATGTAAAAATTAATGTAAAACTTATTCTTTGCATCTAGTGAGACTTAAAATATAATACAAAACAACTTATCACCTGTGGTGCATTATTGGCTTATTGGAACCTTAAAATATATTAACTAGGTTACAATGCCAGGAACTCTACATGAAGCTATAACACTAACTGCGTCAGACAGATGGAGCACAACTAATTTTCAAAACTTGCCAACCTCAGAACTACTTCAGGTTTGTTCTGATCAACAGATCTATCTCTAGTGTCAGCAGCACTGGCAACAGCCAATCTTCTGTTACGAATCATGCTGATTAGGATTTTATTTCTTATTTTAACATATGCCACTTGACATAAAATCTACCTGCTATTTACTAAACCTGTTGACTAAGTACGTGGAAAAATTAGACATAAAAGAAAAAATCGACATAAAGCTAACTGTTAGTAAAACAGATATAAAATGTCCCTAATCTTATTTCAAACTATTACTTATTTCACAATCTTCAAACTATGTCCAACTACACTGCTGGCCATTAAAACTGCAACACCAAGAAGGAATGATCTGACGAACGTCAAAATCACATGAAAGGAAGAAGAAGTTGGGATATGCAAATGATTCGTATTTAAGCACATTTAGACGATACAAGAGAGAGAAACGACAGCTGGAGCACTGCATAAAAGAAAACTTGTGTAGTGGATATTTTATTCGGAAAGTGCTTTGTAAGGTTGGAGTTTGCTCAGAATAGCATGTTATGCCTTGAATAAGAAGAGGAAATACTTACCAGTAAGCTTTGAAATTCAATAAAAACAGGATCGTTGCCTATCGAAGGTATAGAATACCATTCTGTGATATTGCTGGTCACACTGCTCGACATCCAACCACTGTCATGAGACTATGGAATCAATGGATTGTTAAGAGTTATATTGAACGGCATGCAGGATCTCAACACCCTCCCATGACTAACGCCAGAGAAGACAGATATATTGTGAGGTCAGTCTTGCAAAACTGTACGACCACATCACAGACCATTAGTCAGGAAATGGGTATGTTTGCAGCATGTCCAGTATCAGATCGGAAGGTGCATCGACGTTTGTAGCAGGGTGGACTATGAGCGGGGTGACCATTACTTCGGCTTCCCTTGACAATGCAGCATAGAGAGAGATGCCGACTCTGGTGCGCCAAACGACAAAGCTGGGTGCAGGAGTGGCACAATGTCGCCTTTTCAAACAAGTCCTGGTTCTACATGCAGTATTCTAATGGCAGTATACGTGTCTGGAGTGTCCGAGGAGACTGCACGTCACCTGCTTGCATTTGATATTGGCATAGGGGCCTTGCACCTGGTGTGATGGTTTGGACAGCCATTGGGTACATGACATGCACATCTGTAGCTCGAATCGATGATAAGTTGAAAGCAGATGGGTACATTTCTGAGATCCTACGTCCAGTGGTTGTGCCCTATCTTCGAGGCCCCCAAACACCATGTTCCAACACGATAATGCAAGACCACATGTTGCACGTCATGTTCTGACCTTGATCGATGCATAGAATATTCAATTGCTGCCCTGGCCTGCACGGTCTTCAGATCTGTCACCCATTGAAAGCATCTGGTCATGGGTTGCTGAGAGACTGGCCCGCCACCCTTCTGAAACTAAGACGGTTGATGAAGTATGGTATAGACTTAAAAAAGCATGAAATGAGTTGCCCATTTCTGCCATCCAAGCCTAGTTTGACTGCATGCCTAATGGTGTAAGGGCAATTCAGCTACCAGAGGTGGCAGCTGTTTCTACTAATTTTGCATGCCTGTAAACCTCCAAAATGCTTACAAATTAAATCATTTTGTCTTCATGCCATACTGTTTACATGCAATGAATATCTTTTTTGTATTTGCTTTCCTTTGTGGTATTGCAATTTTAATGGCCAGCAGTGTATTGTATGTGTAAAATATTGAATGCTACCTGATAAATTTTATAAAGTGGATTTTATTCTCAAATTTGTTTTATAGTTATGTTTATTAAATTATGTTTAATAAGAATGCATCATGCTTACGGATCTATTTTGTTCTTAGAGGGATATTACAAAAATAGAGTTCGGATATAAGTTGGTTGAATTTTAATTGAATTTATTCAGCTCCCATTTGCTGATATGTGCCTAATTTTTTTCATTAATGGTCCTTAAAAGTACTTAATTTCCATGTGCAGAAATGTGTACGAACCCTGATAAAAAGAATTTGCTAATGTTCCATATTTTATATCATTCTGGATACCGGACGTCCAGATTTCGGACTTTGTACTGTAATGTATATTTTTTTTCAGTGTCATTTATTTTCTTACAGTTTCAAAGAGTGAGAGTTTTTTAAACTGCTATGATGCTTATTCTGTGCTTGTATATATATATAAAAAATACCTAGAAAAAGCATTTGATAATTTTGAAACTTAAAAATGCAAATACTTTTTAACCAGACATGAAAATGCTAGAAGTGACCAATCAGTGATTTATAGAACAGACCTGAAGAACACAAAATGTGTGCACCCCCAAAACATGTAAAGACACTGCATGCAGTTGTGTTAATTTGGACTGCTTATATGGAATTGTCTTGTGTTAGTAATTGTGAAGGTTCTTAAGATTCACTCTCTGTTGGTACAACTGAGTAAGTTCAAAAGAGATTTTGCCGATCTCTTCACAGAAACAAGCTTCATACAGACAAATCCTCTGTATCATGATATTTACTGGTCAGACAATGTTACTAAGTGGTTCTGGCAGGGCATCCACAATTATTTTAAGGACAGTTCAAGATTTATGATGAAAGCATTTTGGAAAATTTTTATAATGGTAAGAGTTATCACAAACACAGAGAGAGATATATATTTGTTTTTTTTTTTTTTAGGACCACTTGCATAAGAGCCACCAGATATGAGCATATATTGAGTGTACCAGAGGTTCTATTGCATTGTTGGTGGCTAATACCATCTTTTCCATTTAGTACTGTGCTTTACTGAATACTGAGGCTCTGTGAATAATGATTCCTTTGAATTCTTCATTGAATAATGATTCCATCTCCCCTATTGAGTACTGTGCTTTACTGAGTACTGAGGCTCCACTGAATACCGAGTACTTTACATCAAAACTTTCCTTCTGGTTTTATAGCTCAATAACTTTAAGGACCAGACAGGAGCTGTTTCATGTTCAGTGATATATAAATTTTTTCCTTGGTTCCAATAACTATAAAATTCACAAATAACTGTAAAATACATTGAGAAGGTCTGGCCAATGCTGCTCACTCCATAATTGTGGTGCAGCATATGCCTATAATACTTGGCTTTACTATTTGAGAAGTCATTCTCTCTAATAACTAGATCACGTTCAGTGATTTTTTTTTCAATATTTTAATAGTCTGCAATTCCAAGCAATCTGGTCTTTTTTGCAGTTCTGAGTAAATGTCTTCAAGAAATTAGACTCTGGATGTTCTTTAGAGATGTTATGACATTATTCTTCGATCAGGCATTCTTTTGCTGTGTCAGATCTTCAGACCTCTTCCTAGGCAAACACATAATATGTTGAAGCCCTGACTGCAGCCATCTTGGTTTGGATAAATTTGCTGAAAAATTACCAATAACAGTCATGCCTTGTGTAACAGATATATAATATATTCTGTGATAGCATTCATTATGTTGGATGTTGTTTACTATAAATTATTAATTTCAATCCATTCCCAACTCTGATCCAGAATCACAAAAAAGATTCGAAAGAATAATAAAAACATAATCAATGCTGGAAATGATAGACATATAGTAATTTTTTTTTTTATTTATAAACAGTATCTATATGAATATCACAGATTTTTTTTTATTCACATTTGTTTGAGTCTTCCAGTCTCCCACTGAAGATACTTAGATGATGTTCCTTCTAATTTATATTCTAAAGAAAATTTTACATTACATATTGAAACTAGTTTTTTTTTTTTTTTTTTTTTTTTTTTTTTAATGCCACATATATCTGCAGATGCAAAACTTCCTTATGATAAAATTAAAAAAAAAATTTAAATTCCCTTAAGCTTTCATAGAAAGTCATTTCTGTTTGTGAAATATTTATATACTGTCTTTATTTATTATTTGTAATCATATTCTTTCATAGCAAGTTCAAACATATTATCAATTCCTAATGCTCTGTTTTGGAGGATTATCTGCAATGTTTTTGAGCAAAGCATTTGAGTTTGCTGGAGCTGGTCCTTTGGCATGTCTAACTCTTGCATTTGTAGCATCTATTGGCTGGAAGAAGGATCCTGAACAGTTTGTATGTTTTTCTTAGTTATATTGAAATTTTTAAATTATCCTGAGAAATAATTGAGAGTAACTAGCTTATGATAATATTAAAAATTTAATGAACATTTAAAAATCATCAACATTTACAAATTTTGATTACCGTAATTTCCGGAAGAAACGCCGCGGCGTTTATATGTTTAAAACTTAAATTTTCAGCGGGTGCGGCGTCTCTACCCATGCGGCGTTTAGGTGCACTAAAAATAAAATATTTCCTATGATGGTCATTGTACATAGTTTGGATGGCCTTATCATTGTGCATAAACTGGTGCTGTTCCCACACAAAAGACCACTCAGTTGATTTTTGCGAGCGTTATTTTGTTTACATTCTTTCCCTTGAACGGACCTACATGCTTATTCACCCTAAACGAGATCTCAGAACAATAACATTCTTCCCCCTTTCAAATCAACATTCTCATCAGTTTGAATAGTCTCTCTCCTCTGCCATTCGATGAATCTTCCAGGACCCATCCTCTCCCCACCCCTGCCTTTTCTGCAATTTTTTTCAAAGGCGAACACGACTCCACCTGCCTCGCAATAACGAACTCTGACGTATTTCCCCTTCAGCATGAATGGATTTTTTTCTTGGCATTCTGCCAAATACAGTTCCCATCAGTTTGGGTACAAGTACTTGTTGGATAGTTTTTAAGTAAGAAGGGAGCGGAAAATTTTTGAAAATGTCTCTAAACGGCACAGAAGCTATACATTTCTTACCTTTAATTTATTTTTGAGTTATGGTTTCATTTCATGCATTTTTCTTAACTGGTATGTCATATATCAGGACTTAGGTTGAGTTTTTGCATCTATACGGCCCACGACGATGTCACGCGCAATTTAATCTATTGCGGCGTTTCTGTGTAATTTTAATTTTTTTTCACGCCATTTTTCTCGAGTGCGGCGTTTACGCTGATGCGGCCTTTCTTCCGGAAATTACGGTAGATAGAAATTTTGTACTACAGTCAAAAGTCGTTAATTCGGACACTCATAATCCGGAATGATCTATAATCCGGACCTCAAAGCTAAAAACTTTCTGCACATGCGCCGCGTTGACACATGCGCATAGACGTTTACGCGTGCGCGTAAGATCTTTTACGTCTGCGCATATGCGTGTGCGCAAGTGCAGAATACGTTTTCGCGTGCGCGTTTTATGTATAACAGACGGTATAAGCTAAAATTATCTAATTATCTATTTCAGTTAATGTTGATGATTGCATTGTTCCTTAATTCTCAGTAAACTTGAACTTTCGATTATGTCAAAAAGAATTTCCGATTCTGGAGCTCCCAAAGGATCGTACAAAACGAAAGTATGTTTCGATGTCCATCAAACAAAAAGTGGAATTGCTGCAAAAAATGGATAAAGACATGAAGAATGTGACAGAGAGGTTAGTGAAAACGAAAAAATTTCGATTGACAAGTTAGTCGGTATTCTCGGCACAGCAATTAACGGGACTTGAACAGCGGAACTTTGTAACTGAACAAGAAATTATGCCTGTTTATAGAATTAGAGAGAAAGTATTATCACATAAAATGAAGCAACTTAAATAACTTACATTGAAAGAAATGTTTAATAAAGTAAACAAATAAATATTAAGCTTTTTTTTTTTTTTTTTTTTTTTGTAAATTTTGATACTCTTTAGATCATAATTGTTCTTTATTTCATAAATTACGGTTTCATGTTTTTAATTTTAGAATTTCTGCATGCCATCTTAGGAGATTTAAACTGATGATCTATAATCCGGAAAAATCGATAATCCGGAATCGCCGAAGTCCCGACGAGTCCGGATTAACGACTTTTGACTGTATTTTAATAAAACAGTGTATTACTAAACATAAAACTACAAGATACACTTGTGTTTTAAACAAAAGGTTTCCCTTTGTTACTGGCAGAGTGTGTCTATTTTGCTGAAAAGTTTCAAATTTGATAAAATTATATCAAGTGGCAATATTATATATAAGGAGAAAAAGATGTTTAGGAAACAAAACTGGGAATTTAACTATTGAAAAGTGAAGCTAATATTTGTAGAATTAAAAATAAAGCAGTTTTTGATGTATGTAAAAATGTCAAAAAGTAATGATATGATAATTTAAGAACCCTGTTGATTAAATTTAGCTGAATAAAAATTAAATATGCAACTGGTACACTTTTAGTAATTGATGAAAAATTTCTTTTCAGTTGTAAATTCATATTCTTTAATGTAAAATTTGACCTCTTGTAATTTGATTTAAGTATAATAAATCTTGTATAAGATAAAAACATGATGGTATAGTTTTAATAGTTTTAAACTAACTAACTCTAAGAGATTAAACAGCTTTAAGAAATACTATATCAAATCATTGTATATAATATCTATCTAAAAGTAGAAATTTATCTAAAGATAAAAACTTCAGATATTTATGAATCATATTCACAGATTCATGAGACTGTTGATTAGGTGCAAAAATGCTCAGTAATTTCAATAACAAAATAAATTCACTTCTGCAGTCAAAAGTATATTGTTGTATTTATTAACGTATTAGTGTAGTCAAAATAGTGTAATTTTTTTAAAAATATTTTTATTTGTCTAAAAAAAAGCTATTGTATTAACAATGCTACTGAAGAAAATTTGATTACTGTTGAAGGTTATTTGTATTGTAAAATATATTATAAAAAAGACAGGTATTTGCTTCAATATAAAATGCTTTAAGCTGTATGCAAGTAACTTAAGAATTTAATAAAAATTTACTTAAAACTATGTAAAAAAAATACTGTAAAACTATGTAAAATGGATATACATTTTCATTAATTTATTACATGGGCATGGCTCTTATCGAAATACATTAATCAACAAGCAAAGTACTTAAAAATGAAAAAAAGACACTTATAATAGAAATATTAGTATTCTATATGAATTAGAGAAAATACATATAAGTATAATGTAAACATAAGTATAAGAATACTAATTTTTATTTTTTAAACGAATTTTTACTTTTTGTTATGTTTAATATATTGTTTTCTGTGCTAACTTGAATTGAATACAAATTTATTTTCGTATATCACGTTTAACCGGTTAGTTTTACATCTACATGCTTATTATCTATGAATTTTTACTACCATATGTTTAATATATTGTTTTGTCTGCTAGCTTGAATTTACATGCACTTAAAATCATGTTTACAAAATATCATGTTTACACCTCGGCTCATCGGAGCTTGGCGAATGAAAATGCAACGGCGCCAACGGGTTCTCTGTGGATGAAAACCCTCTGAAGCTTCTATAATCTTATTCTGTTTTTTCTTCCCCCTTTATTTTTTTATTTATTTATTTTTTTTTTAAACATACTGCAGTAACAACAATTGTGTGCAACATGTTGATCAACACAAAAGCAGCAGCCATGCGAAGAATATAATTTGTATTTCTTTAGGGTATGAAATAAGGAGATCAAAAGAAAATTTGAAGACAGTTAAAATTATGAACAATTTTGCAAGCAGTTGTATGGCAGGTATATACTGAAATATCAGTAACAACTATTAATCTAATTTTAAAGTAGTTAAATATCATTTTCTGAAATCATCCGAGATTCCTAAATACTTTAATGTTTAATGAAAAAATTCCCGTTTTTTAAAGTATTTTTGTTCTATACAATTCTTTATATTCATGAATGCTTTAAATTTAATAATTAATAACTTTTTTAATTATTTAAATGTTCTCTCTAAATAGTAAATGTTCCTGAAATTTTTTTTTGTAGATTTATGTTTGATGTATACAATCAAACTCAGCTTAAAATCAACTCTCGCATATAACAAACTAACCTTTTGGACCCGTGCAGTTACCCGTGCACTTAATATCATTTTATATTTTTATGGTAAACCTCCATGAGTATGAAAATTGGATTTAATGGATTGTAAGAATGTCTTCAACTGAAACTTCTTTGTATTTTTTAATTTAGAATTTTTAGAAATTTTAATGGAAAAATTACTAATTGTTAAAATAATCCATGGTTAGGATATCAGGATCCGCATTCCATCCATGAAAGAAAATGCCTTCATGTTATTTTTCTTTTATTTTTATCCCCACTTTTCTGAGTGTTTAAAGCAAAGGCTGTGGGAGACAAGCATGACACCCAATTGTAGAGAACAAGGATATTGTAAGCCATCATAGGAACATTGTGCAGTGCACATGATTACTGAACCAAAACACATGAATGAGTTCTCTGATTTTATTGAAATTCTTTGAATAAGTTGCCAAATAGAATTCTATTTAATTCATCTATTATGAATGGAAAATTTGAAAATTTCATTATTTTGGGAAGAGGAAGTAGTGAATTTTGAGTTTGTGGTTGTAAAATTGCTTCTTTCCTTGGGGAATGAAAATTTTTTACCCTTATCAGTTTATTTTATTTAACTGTAAAAGCTTGTCAAATTTTGGCCTCTGTTTGGGGTTTTACATCCTTTGGCTTTTCTGCAAGGTATTCGCTATAAATGTGATTGAATCTTTTTGTTGAAACCATACATATCTTGAGAAAAATGATTGTGCTGTCACTAGGCAATTGGTCACTAGACACATAGTGAAAATATTATCTTCTTTTCCAGAAAAACTATCAAATATTTTATCAAATTCTTTGCACTCTGTTTCTGTGTCTAAAATTCATCCACATGGCTGTAAATATAAAACATGTCCACTGTGGAAAAAAAGGGGGGGGACAGTTCTGTATCTCCCGTTTTACTAGGCCGATTGACAAAATTCAAATTGCGTTTTTCATGTTTCGAAAGCGCGACTTAAGATATATATATATATTATATTTATATATACTATTGTTCTAACATATCAAATGTTGTATGATCTTAAAATTCATTTAGTGCGAAAACACTAAATGAATTTAAGATCATACTTGCCCAATTGCTGTAAAGTAAGTTAATAATAATTTATTTACTAAATAATATTGATTAATTGATTATATTATCTTCCAAGTTTAATTATAGTAGAATTATCTTAAA